GAGAATGCGAATGGGAATTTGAATTATAAATCACCTCATTACCTATACATCCGTTTACGTAAATCCGAGTTCTCGTCAATCGCAGCCCTAAGTTTTTCTTCCGTATTCTTCAGCTGCTTCTTTGTTGACCGAAGCGATTCCTCAAGTCCATCGACGACCTCCATCTTGTCTTTGAGCTCTAGGTTTTCTATGACTGCGTCACGGAGGCGTCTCTCCGCGGCGCGGAGTCGGTCTTCTACAGCTTTCAGACGTGTCTCGTGCGAGCCGACAAAATTCTTGGAAGTCGCGCCCTCAACCAGGTTGGATGCAGTTCCGGTCGTCGTAGGTGCCTGTGAGACTAAGGGCATAGCCTGAGTTCCAGCTACTAGGTCATTCTCCACTGTAGATACTCCTTTGTCATATGTGGACTTCCTCGCATGACCTAGGTAATTATAGGGCCTAGTATTCGCAGTGTAAAAGGCCTCATTCAATGCTCTGTTGTTGGAGGTAGAGGATAATCTACGAATTGTTGGGTCAGGTGACTTGTTTCCGGAAAAGAGTGGGCTGTAGGATTATCTACTTACGCGCCGTGACTAGCAGCTGTGGATGCCAATCGGTTCAACGCTATAAAGGGCTCAGGCTGGTTCGCGTTTGCCAAAGCAGAAGCGCTAAAGGTGGCCGAGGTACTGATTGATGGAGCATCACTAGACTTGGTAGGCGAACTCTCGTTAGACGTGTTGCCTTCCTGACGAGCTCGGAGTGAGTTGGGATTCGGTAAGCGTATCGTCAAGCTGGTTGCCTTCTCCCTTTCAATCTTAGTGATCGGACTCTCCGCAGCTCCCTTAGATTCCGTGGAGGCTCCAGCGAATTTATCGAGGCGCTGGGTTTGAGCGTCTACAATCGTGTGCAATGCTGCTATCTGTTGATCCTTGTTCTTGATTTCCGAGTCGTGGCGGTGCTTAATTGAGTATAGCTTGGCAGAAGTTCGAAGCTGTAGTCGAAGAACGGATAAATGTGCCTCATCAATTGCCCCATTCGTCCTCTCTTCTAATTCCGTTAGAGCTTCAAAGGCCTTTTGCTCCAGAGACTTCGCCTCATTTTCTCTTCTTTCCTCGTGGCGTTCCAGTTCTGAGACCCTTCTTTCAGCCATCTCTATCTCTGATCTCGATACGCAACACGCTTCATCAGCGACCTTTTGCAGGTCTTGACAACGACTAGCGTAGGCTACAACTTGTCGCCTGAGCGTTCTCTGTCGCCGTTTACCTTTGGAACAAGAATC